GAATGATACTAAACAAATTCTATAGTCATACTGTGTGTCTATACAAATATGTAACAACCCACCATTGTTGTATAATTATAATGCACCAACAAAGTTATGGGACATGTTTATAAATAAGTACCCATACCAAAATGTAGCATGGTGTCTTAACCCTACTCCTACACCTCTTCCTAGTAGTGCTTATTTGCATTAAGAAATGCTACAAAACTATTGAGGCATTCTCAATTCATAACAAACAAAATGGACTTAAACAACAAGGCAATGGCTAAAACAACATAAAATAAAACACATTAACTGAAAACTAACAGAAAAATCACATCACCCTAATGAAAATTTGGACCTACAGAATATGCAGTGGAAACTCTGGGCTTGGAAGAAATAGAGGACAGAGCAATAGAGAAAGACATAGACCTATAATTGCAGAAGTTACGAGTACGACTAATATGTAGCAAATAATGAACAAGGGATTCTAATTTCCATAGACAACTGACCACCATGAAAGTAATGCAAGTTAAAAACAGGAAAAATTATTAAAATACTTGCATTTTATGAACATAGAGTTAACACACCTGAGTCAAAAGCATACCATACTGACTTGAACAAAGAGAGGAATGGTGAGCAGGACAGAACGGAGCAGAGGTTCCACCGGGGCAATCAGAAGTGCTCCTGACCTGTGCTGGGAGAAGTCAAGTGTGCTGCTGGCTCCTTCCCTTAGGAAGGGCAGATGACAGCTGTGCTCAGCAAATGCCCAGGTTCCACACAGCAGGGACGAGAACAGAACCCCTGGCTCTGCTGTTAACAGTAAACGATCTTAGATCAGAAGTTTTATTTTTAACTTTTGACAATAGCTATGCAATTTTCTTGTACGTATGTAAAAATAATTATGCAATATTATTTGTGTGTAATGCATGTTAAATCATTATTCATAGCTATAAGTGAAGTCAGAGTCTGCATGAGAGAGGTAATGGGTTCAATTCGGGGTCTCCCAATTCCCTGGCTTTGAGACGAATTGGAAGTTCTTGCAGATGTTCACCTGACACAGGCAGGAGAAGGCCTGCTTACTATGATTCAAGCTGCAGAGAGGAACCCGCTCCTCCCAAGTGGCTGGAATGCTCAGTGCTGTCCTGCTCCTAAAGAAGTCACACTCCTGCAAAGGGTTCCAAAGGCAATTGTCCTGCATGGCCTCAGGAGTGAGACCTGATCATTGAATACCTTCACGGGCCAGAACCCCTTGCCAAGACCCAGGCAGGGGACTCGCAGGATAGATGCTTGCAGCTGGTGGCTAATCCCTAAGTCATATCTGCCCAGATCTGGTGTTCATAAACTGATTTCTGGGGCCCAGGCAATAAGAAGTAAAGACAAAGAGAAATAATGGGAAAAGAAGGGCACAGGTTATTTCCATGAGGCCAATGTTAAAGGAAATCAGAAATTCCAAAAATGGATGCACTGTAGACCTGGAATTGAAATTTTGTTGTAGATAATTCACAACATCTCTCCAGAGGAATAAGGCTTGAGGTCTACTGTCCTCTTAGGTGACAGAATGAATTCCCTTCTCACTTGTCAAGGACTTTTCACCTGCGTCATCTCCTGTGCTCGGGGGGCAGGAGGAATTTCTATCACCTTTTCATAGCTTCTTTTTTTTTTTAATATTTATTTTTTAGTTGTGATTGGGCACAATGCCTTCATTTTATTTATTTATTTTTATGTGTTGCTGAGGATCAAACCCAGGGCTGCACACGTGCAAGGCGAGTGCTCTACTGCAAGCTATAACCCCAGCCCCCTTTTCATAGCTTTTAAAAGCAAGATGAACCTTCAAGAATGATAGATGAAAGATTTTTTAAAGGTAGGAATGGTAGAGCATCCAGACGGCCACCCCCAAGGTCCCTCAATACACAACCCAAGGCCTACAATGATGGCCTCGGGTCTTCTGGAAGCATAGACCTGAGAATCTAAGGAACACTTTACCCTTCACCCCAGGAACACAAACACCTGCCAACTCAATAACTTCAGGAGTCGCAGAGTCTCTACTCAGAGCCCGTTGAGCCAGGTGAAAGCCCTTGGGTCCCCGCAGGAAAGTGGGGCAGGCTGGCTGGCCAAGGCTCAGGGAGGCACAGTTCTGACTTCCTTGCCCCTTATTTTATTTACTTTTCCCCATTTTTCATCCGTGCGCTGTGACTGTGGACAGTGGGGTGTCTGTGCTCCGTATCTGTACATGCACACAGCACAGCAAGTTAACTTGCCTGCCTCCTTTTTAATCACTGGGACTCAGGCACTCGCAGAAGCAGTATCCCACAGGCCAAAAGCTGGTTATTGTGGTCCCTTGCACATCCTTAAACTCCCCTTGTAGACCCAGAGAAGCAAACAGAACATTCCCCAAAGCAGCATGAAAGGTCTGATTTCAACCCACAAAACGAACGACAAAAAAAAAAAAAAGAGAGAGATTCTTTTAAAACCCCAACCACACACCCAGAATCAAAGATGACCTGAATGAGTGGGTGTTTGTTTCATTGATAGATTTAGAGTTTGGATTTACTATTTCAAATATGAAGTGGTAATTTTAAGTTTCTTTGCTTTCTCATCTTAGAGATATATGGACTAATTTTTAAAACAAATTAGGATTCTTGCTATCAAAATAGATTATATAGCAATTCTCCTCCGGAGCAACCTGTTGCCTACAATACTGATTAGCTTACTGAAAACCAGACAAATTTGTAATGAAGGATGCCAACCACATGGGAACCAAGTTCCCTCGAGAGGACTCAGGTCCTGGAAAGCCCCTTATATAAATCCAATGACGACATAAAGTGTGATATCCAACACGAGACTCCATCCCTGCCAGCCCGCCTTCCTCAGAAAGGAAGACTCTGCCTTTTTATTCTGCTTAAGTTAGGTTCTCACAGTGACCTTCAAGCTTCAGAAACAGTTTTCTAGGAGAAAAAGAAGAATCAGGAAACAAAGGAGACTAAACAAAGGAGATAAAGAAGAGGCCAGTCCTCTTCACGAGGCTGTTGCAGGGAACGATGCAGAAACCCACCCAGAGGTCACAAGTGAGTGAACAGTGCCTTCCTTCTCATCTGGAAGGTTAAGTTTAGAGGTTCCTAACAGCCAAACTGGTTTGACTCCCCACTCAAAGTGCCTGGGAACCCCTCCTCTGTAGGACTGTAATACATCGGCTTTTGTTTCCAGGGAACTAATGTCTGGGGGCCAAAATCTTGATGCAAATACTACAGATGAAGTGACAATCCATTTCTCTTCATCTGTATTTTTCCCATATTTCATCACATTCTAGCTCATTTCACTCTCTCAATAAGCCTGTCAATTAGGCACCTCTCCATGCCAGGTAGAGTAGGGCCTCTGGATAGACCCAAGCACCTTCACCCTTCAACTGCACTATGCCCAGGAGAACAAGAACAGACATTTCACAATGGAGAAGAGGTTCTATGTGAATTACAACTCAACAGTTTATAAAATTAATAACATCTTTACACTGGACAGTCAACAACAACATATTTCAGTACATCTGTTGACATGAGTCCAGTGCCTGAAAGAGGAGCAGAAATCTCTGCAGCCACAATGGCAAAAGTTTTGGCCATGTTGGGGTAAATGTCCTGGGGAAACGAGGCGAACTGCACGGGTGTTCACACTCTGCATCTGTTTCCAAAATGTGCTCTGGAAAGCCTTCTGCTTCTACCCTTCACCCTCTTTCTAAAAGTAAATATAGCTTCCTATTCTGAGTCACAAGATGAACAGAAGGCTTACAGTCTAGTTCAATAATACTACACTTGAAAAACTGATGTGTCAAAGGAATGACCATCTCCTGATGATAGTTTGGAAAAAGGACTGAATCCTCAGCTTTCACACATTATTAACAAGAATGCCATGTGATAAAGAATTGCTATTCAACTCCATTTTCTTAATCTGCTGTTCAAAGATAACTTGTGCAGCACCATAAAAGTCTCTCGTAGTCAAGCTACTATTTTGGGGGTGGGGGTGGGGTACCAGGGATTGAACTCAGGGGCACTTGAACACTGAGCCACAACACCAATCCTATTTTGTATTTTATTTAGAGACAGAGTCTCAGTGAGTTGCTTAGTGCCTCACTTTTGCTAAGGCTGGCTTTGAACTCGAGATCCTCCTGCCTCAGCCTCACGAGCCACTGGGATTACAGGTGTGAGCCACCGCACCGGGCTTGTCACACCACTGTTACCTACTGAGGCAGCACAAATGCACCTGTGACCTCGCCCCACAGATGCTCTGTGGTCCATGAGCAGAGTGCACAGGCGCTTTCTCAAGCCTGGTTCATTCATGAAAACCAGTCTTTAAATGCAAAGTTTGTTGAACTGAAGGGGAAGGAAGCAGGGTTCTTTGGAGGCCTTTCATTTGGTTCAGACAGCAACTAACCTTCAACTACCTTCACCTTCTCCAGCTTCACACATAAAATTGACTCCTGCTGGAAAACTAATTGTGAACCTACAAAATATCCATTTAACAAGTTGCTAGGAACAGAAAGGTCAACTAGGCGGCAAGACACAGGACAATTATCCCACTGTCCTTCCGCTGCTGGATTCAGATGCTGCATAGGGCCATGCCCGTGTAGAAGGCTCCATTTCAGGCTGGACTTTCCCTATAAGCTGTGGGGATTAGCTGGCAGATTTTATGCATGATCCAATTTCACATTTTAAAAATCCAGTTAATTCTGTTGGTGCTGTCACTGATGCAGGAAGTCCAGGGGGCAGGATGCTAGTGCAGGGTCTCTAGGGAGACGCCCAGAGCCTGGTCCAAGGCAGTGGAAACGGAGGGGAAGGAGGAGAGGCTTGGAGGCCTGCTCACTAGTAGTCTTTGTGACAGGTCATTGAAGGGGAGGGAAAGGCAAGGCATGCAGACAAGGAAGAAAAGGGCTTGAAGACAGCTTCCCACAGCCTGTTAACTATCAAAAAGACGACAGCAATGTGGAGACTAAAGAGGTTACTCACGGTGGCATTTCACCTCCATTTCCTCACCTTGGCAGCAGAGTTCGACACCCCATGTGTGACATTTCTGATAAGGCCCCCGACATTTCCGTACTTTATCAGTCCAGTAACACCTTCAGAAACATCATTCAAAAGTCCCATGGGATTTCCAAGAAAATCCACCGATCCCAGGATTCGAGCTGCCTGGCTGAGGAGTTCCTGTCAAGTGGAATATGGAGAGAAAAGTCAATTCAGAAACAGTTTGTAATGGCAGGTATCAGTGTGTAAGTGAATATGGCAGAAATCTACCTTGTCCTCCATCCTTGTTACTACCAACAATTACCTTTTAATCTTCACCAAATGCAAAATAATCTCCCGTCCTCTCATGGGCTCCACCATCTCCCGATACACATGCACCAGAGATTTGTTTTCAATACACTTATGAGTACTCTTCAAAGCCAATTCGAAGAATAAAAATAGCTATGCCCTGGGAGAGACTCTATGGGTGCTCACTGGCACACAGGTCCTATTCTTCTCCTTTCTATCCTCCCTATTAAGTCCTGGGCAGGAGCAGGGAGGGGAGCAAGCTGTGGAGGGTGGGGCATGAAGAGGGCGTGTGCAAGCTTAGGAAGCAACTCTCCACTCTCCTGTACCTCCTACAGCCTGACCCAGGTTCCAGTGACATCTGCGTAGCCTCTGCTTATAGGCAGATGGAATTTCACCAAAAGGAAAGACAAGGAAGGCGATGGGGAAAGCAGAAAAGGAAGCAAGCACAGGAAGCATTTTAACTCTGAAAGCTGATCACCGTACGCCTGAAGAGTACGCCTCGGCTTTACATTTTGGTCTGTGAAGTCTGAGTAATAAACACAAAATGGAAAATGTCCAACTTGATAAAAAAGAGCAGGACTTCTAAGAGCAGGATTTCACAGGCTCTCACGACAGCAGTGTTGAAAAGTAGGCACGTGCTGGTAAAGAGAGTGCACAGTATTCTGTGCTATTACTAATGTAGCAATGACACCACCAAGAGTTGGGACTGATCTAGTGGAGGCCCCTGGGACCAGCTCTAAGGACAAGACAAACAGCTCAGGAGTCAAATGCAGTTGAAAGAATTTCATGTATACACGGGATTCATTGGACATGGCCAAACCCCTAACACAACAGATGTGAAATGTCTGACCAGATTCTCAGTAAGTAACGTCTTAGTAATCCAAACTCCCAAACAACCATAAGGAACAGCCTGCCTATAGTTTAGCCACTGAGTATGTCCCCAGAGCTCACCTCCTGGAAATGCTTGAGGATGTCGTTGATGATGAACTCCTTGGTCTCATAGGGATGTACCCGAGTGAACGGGTCCAGATTAATCACAGCATCTTCAAATCGAATCAGTGGGAATCCCAAGGTGCTTTTGAGGGCCTAGTTTGGGAAAAGAGAAAAGGATATACTTTAGCCATAGGACAGCCTTCCAGGGTACTGTAATTCTGGATTCCATGAAAGCTGCAAATCTCAACTTTCCAATAGAAGTCGAGGCTTTAAAGTTTGTGTGTGTACACACATATATATTTGTAGTGCCATGGACTGAACCCAAAGCCTGTGCCTGCTAGGCAACTGCTCTACCACTGAGCTGCACCCCCAGTTCAGGTATTGATATCTATAAATAAGGATTTCCCCTGTACTAATATAGTAAAATATTGGGGGGAAAATATACCTTTATATGTATTGCTCAAATTCACATATATCACACAGAAATAAACACTAGTTGACTTCATAGCATAAATTCCTTTTGATCTGTTGTATATCTGAGTATTTGTTACATTTTACTCTTGGTCCAAAGTACACCACAGGAGGAAACCAACTGCTATGTACAACCATAAGGCTATAATTTAAAAACTAAAATAAAAAAGGTACACCACACACACAGAATGATCAGTGATTTTTCTTGAAGTGAATGTCAGATGCAACCATTGCCCAGGTCAGAAAGGAGACTGTGGCCCCACTGTGGAAGCAAGCCCTTCCCTTTTACATTTCATTGTACAACTAAATCTCAATTTATTTAATCACTGCTGTTGATGAAAATTTGGGTCATTTCCAATCTTTGGCCATCAAGAGGGTTGCTGCCATGAACACTCTTAGACCTGTCTTTCGGGGCACATCTTGTGCATTTTCTTGGATATACACCTGGGAGTGAAACGGGCCATAAGGAAGGCCTGTGTTCAGGCTCAGTGTGCACCGCAGAAGGGTTTCACAAAGGGACAGAACAAGTTTTTGCTCCCTCCAGCAGTCTACAAGAGTCCCTGTTACTCTACATCCTCATCAACACTCGACATAAATAGCTTTGTTCAAAAAACAGATGTTCTGCTGGGCACAGTGGTGCACGCTTACAATCCCAGCGAACGAGAGGCTGAGGCAGAAGGACGGCAAGTTTGAATTCAGTCTGGGCAACTTAGTGAGATCCTGTCTCAACACTTAAAAACATAAAAATAAAAAGGGCTGGGGATGCAGCTCCATGGTACAGTGCCCCTGGGCTCATTCCCTAAAACTGCAAAAAGAAAAAACAAAACAAGAACAACATCAAAAACAGACAAACTTAATTCTAAAGGAACTTCATCCTATCAGACCTTTCCTTTACAGTAAGAACCAGTGTTCTGGTTCAGAAATCATCATCTAGCCCGAGGTCACAGAGACATTCCCGTATGTTCACTCTTGGAGTTTTGCTGTTTCACTCTTCACGCTTACATCTATAATCCACCTGGTCTTGATTTTGATGTATGGTGTGAGACAAAGCTGAATACTCGTTTTTTCAGATGCATATCGAATCAACTAATCTTTTTTGTGGGGGGATACTGGGGATTGAGCTCAGGGGCTCTCAACCACTGAGACACACCCCTGGCCCTATTTTGTATTTTATTTTAATGCAGGGTTTTGCTAAGTTGCTTAGCGCCTCTCTAAACTGCTGAGGCTGGCTTTGAACTTGGCGATCCTCCTGCCTCAGCCTCCAGAGGATCCCGCCAACGGGATTACAGGCATGCACCACTGCGCCCGGATAATTGACTAATCTTCATGGAAAACACCATCCTTTTCCCTTTGCAGTCTGCTGCAGACTTTGTCAGAAGTCAATTGGCTGTATTTATGTATCCACCTCTAGATTCTTTTCTGTTTCATTTTGTTCTGCTTTCTACCAACACCACGTTATCTTAAATAATGTAGTTTTCTAATAAGTTTTTTGAAATCATATAGTGGAAAAGACCTTCATTCTTTTTCTTTTGAGACTACCTTGGTTACTCTTTGCACTTTTCAATTGTATATAAATTTTTGCTCCCTCCAGCAGTCTACAAGATTCCCTGTTACCCTACAACAGAAAAAGTCTGTTGATCTGCTGCCATAAAAATGCTCAAATTTTCATCCAGACTGCATTGAACCTGTAGACCACCTGGAACCTTCCAATGCAGTAACATGACGCAGCCCCCCCATCTCTCTAGGTCTTCAATTTCACTCACCAACGTTTCCTCGCTTTTTGCATGAAGCCCTTGGAGGTCTTTTGTTTGGTAAACTCTTAGGTACCTACGATGGACTCAAAATGGCTCCAAGTTTTTGGTGTCTTCTACAAGAGGGGGGGTCTGCCTTCCTTCCACCTGAATCTACAGGCCCTATCATTTACTTCAGTCAGTACAGTGCACGGGAGGTAAAGTACCATCTCCATGCAGAGGCTTTCAGAGAATGTGGAACTTCCAGTCTGTCCTCTTTAATGACTCCCCCATGTGAAGAGGAGAGACCAGAAGGAAAGCAGCTCTGCTGAGAGCCAGCACCAACTGGCTGACGTGTGAGTGAGGTGGCCCTATAGCACTCAGGATCAGCCGGACTGCCAGGTGACTGCAGCCATGAGAACGAGCACAGGCAGGGTAGCAGCAGAACCACCCACACTTAGGTCTAAACTACTGACCCTCTGAATCACGAGCAACAATAATTAAAAGAAGGTTATTGTTTTAAACCACTAAGTTTTGGAGTGGTTTGCAAAATAGTAATTACGATAGATATGGCATCTCATGTCTTCTTTTTTTTTTTAAATATTTATTTATTTATTTTTTAGTTTTCGGCGGACACAACATCTTTGTTTGTATGTGGTGCTGAGGATCGAACCCGGGCCGCACGCATGCCAGGCTAGCGTGCTACCGCTTGAGCCACATCCCCAGCCCCTCATGTTTTCTTAATGTCTTTGGAAATGATATCCTTCAAATTTTCCTTTTCTCTATAATTGTTGCTGACTTATAGGAATACAGTTGATTTTTACATATTATTTCTAGTTATCCTACTAAACTGACTTAATTATTCTTTAACTCATTCCTATGTTCTTTTAAATTTTCTGGATACATAACCATGTTCTCTACAAATAACAAAGTTTTCATTTTCCTTTCCAGTTCTTATAACTTTTCTTTCTTTTTTAAAAAAATCTTATCTACCCCATTGCACTGCTAGGATCTGCCGTGAACAGAGTTTGATGTGGACCTCCTTCCCCACGTCAAGCCAAGCTTCTCCTGTGCGGCATATGCTGTAGCCTTCTGTTCAGATTTCTTTCATGTTTATTTTAAAAGTACTGGTTTATAATTCTCCTTTATTGTTCAATTATTTAAACAATAAATTAGAGATTTCTGGTAAACTTCTTGGACACATTCACTGTTATTTTAGATTCTGTGGGTGAACATGCCAACATTTGGGTCTGTGTCTAGTAACTGTTTTTTCCCTTGGCCCTAACTCACACCAGACGTGGTAATTTGTGACTGAATGTGGCATTTTGTATGAAACTCACAGCGACTTTGGATGATGAGTCTTTCAAGTTCTGGCAGGCAGTTATCATACAAGGTATAATGCCTTAATCCAACCAGGGTTTAGTTTCCTGAAGGCTGAGGCTCAGTTTTCTAAGTTCTGATCCCTCTGGGCCATTGTAAGGCCTGGCTTCGTCCCTTCACTGTCTCCCTGAACACCACTGCCAGTCCTTCAGTTTTCATCTTCCCGGGACCAAAAAAATTGCTGAAAGGTCTGCTTTGTTCTATGCCCTCTTTGCTGTCACTTCTTGCTTGGCTTCTTTTAGACTGGGTCACTTAGAAATTGGCAAATCCCTCGAGAAATGAAGCGACTGGGAGCCCGGGGGTCTGCTTCCTCGCTGCGCTTCTCTTTGAGGGCTGGTCCTTCAACCTCCAGCTCTCCAGCAATGGTGCCCAGTGTTTGCTTTGCAGCCCCACAACACTGTTCCAAAGTTGCAGCTGAATTCTCTTTGGCAGTTGGGTTTCTGCATGGCCTCTTTGCCTTTTTCCCCCAACCACTTACAAATCAGAAAAAGTCTCAAGAAAAAAACTAAAATAAAATTCAGGCTATGGGGCTGGTAGAGCTCAGTGGTCGAGGGCTTGCCTCGCACATGTGAGGCACTGGCTTTGATCCTCAGCACCACATAAAAATAAATATATTTTTTAAAAAAATTCAGGCTCACCTCACTGAGCTTTCCTCCTCCCATAAATCCTGGATCCTCAAGTCCTGGCTGTCTTGGTAGCTTTACAATGGCCTTTAACAGACTTTTTGTTTCTTTCTAACAAATTACTTTCTTTTTTTTAAATACATATTTTTTAGTTATAGGGTGAACACAATATTTTTATTTTATATTTATTGATGCTGAGGATCGAACCCAGTGCCTCACACATGCCAGGTGAGCGCTTTACCTCTGAGCTACAACCCCAGCCTCTAACAAATTACTTTCTAACTTTACTTGAAGTTCTCAGCTGGGTTGACTATAATCCAGTTAATTTCTGAATCTGTAACTTTTTTCCGATCACATTTAACATGATTGATATTTCTAGATGTTTAGAATGCATGCTTTACTGAATGTGAATTTATTTTTCCATGCTAATAATATCAATCTCTAAGCCACTTGGAATTTATCCCTATAGAGTATCAAGAATTAATCTAATTTTATAATAATTTAATTTCCCCACTAAATTAAAAGGTCTATTGCATATTAAAATTTCATATACAATTTAATGAAATTTCTGTTGTTTCTTACTTATCTCTTTTAATCTTTTTGCATATGTTTTCAAAAGCTGTCTTAAAGTCTCTTAGTACAACAAACAACACTGAAATCAAAACAAGGCTGGGGTTGTGGCTCAGTGGCATAGCACTCGCCTAGCATACGTGAGGCACTGGGTTCAATCCCCAGGACCACATAAAAAAACTAAAAAGAAAATCAAACAATGGAAGGAAAAATAGCTGAAATTGTCTAAAAAGGGGATACTTGTTTACGACTAAAAATTTAAGTACAAAATGGCAACAGGCTGAGAAATTTGACAACATAAAAATTAGACATCTTGTGATTAAACAAACACAGACAAAACACACAAAAGCAAAATATAAAGACAAATGAAACTGAAGAAAAAATACAATTTTCATCAAAGACAAAACTTTTATGAAGAGATCAATAAATGGACAAGTGATATCACCAGATACTTCACAGAGAAAAAACTGTCCCTTTATCATATGGGTTAGGAGGAGAAAGAGTAAAGGAAATCGGTGAAAGACGGAGACGCGACAAGCCCAGAGGAGGAGAACCGGGGCACAGACGTCAAGAACAGGAGGCGAGACACTGAGCGGCTGAGGAGGCAACAATGAGGATAGAAGAAAGCCCACTGGGTTTGGTTCCCTAAGAGATCACTAATAACCTCCACATTTTAGGAACTAAGCGTAGCCCCAAGTGGCCAGTTCAGCCCCCCCATGTTTTGCAAAACTACAACTGAGGACAAGTGGACAACTTGGAGTCAGGCAGCCAGAGTTGCTAGGTCTGGACTCACATGTGCCCCTTTCCACACAGCAGCCACCTCTTAGGGACAAGCAGGAAAGCCAGAAGACTCTATTATTTCTCCTGAAAACTTTCTGCCATTCATCCAGCCACGCAGCCCTGCCTCACGGCAAGTGCTGATGACCTGAGAGGCCACGCTATCCTCATGTCACCAAGGGAGAAATGAGGCCTCAGCAAGCTGAACTGCTCTGCTCAGAGCCACAGGTCGCGCGTGTGGGGAAAGGCAGCTCTGACGCCGGCTCTGGTGCTCTGCTTGGCAGCCCTCTGACACTGTCGCCCTCTCAGGAGGGGCGGTGCGGGTGAGCAGAGGCCCGAGGCAGGAGGCTGTTGTGTTTCCTTTTAACCCCAGCTTCATGGATGCAACCAAACACTGAGGAAGAACCATGCACGGTGGAAAGACCCTAAGAGCTCGATTGAGCGGCCAAAGTTCTCAGGACAGACAACAACCCCTCCCTAGATGACTGAGGTGCTTCATCGGAACCAGGAAAAACACCCTCATCTAGTGGCCTGCTGCTCGGCCTCAGGCCTCCCCATTTTTGGAAGGCTGAGAAGCAGCCTATTGGTGTGAATTATTCTGCCACCTTCAGGTTGATCTGGTCAAAGTAGGAGAGAAGAAAGGGGAATAAAGAGTCAAACAGGGCTCTTTCTGGTAGTAAACAAACGACTCATCAAATGCAGTCGTACACAACGTTGATGCTTACTCAATCAAGTAGCAGTTTCCTGTTGTAAAATGGATTCTGGAGGAAGCAAGCCTGTGCACATAAGTTCCTAATAAAAAGAAGAAACTGCCTCCCTACCTCCCCAGACAAAAACTGCTAAGGCTTCCAGAAACATTTCAGTCAAAAGAAGAAATACCTGTCCACAAGGTCTCAGATCACAAGCTATCCTTGGGCCAGGTCCTTTCTTTTCTTAGTTTATCCTGCACTAAACAAAACTGTCTGGAATTCATTCTTTAAAGGTTTATTTATGGTACAGAGAAACTGTTTATGTGGAGCAGGGTATTTGCCTATTTCCCTCTTGGGACCGTGTTTAAAACTACAGGGATATTTCCCTCTCTGGCACTTTCTGAAATACAATTAACAATACTGGATCTTTTTTCCCTTTAACAAATCTGGTTTTTATTTAGGGAGGGGAGGAAAAAAGTAAAGGGTCTGAAGTTTCCCAACAAATTATTTCAAGCCTTTGAGAAGACAGTTCTAGGCTTTTTAAATAGTGTCTTTGTTTGAAATTCCCCCTGACCCCCACCCTCTTGCTCTGACCATTAAAATGTGGGTTTCCTTCCAAACTAGATTGCTCAATTAAAGCCCTTCTTCTGTAATACCCGAATGCTCTAAATGGGAAAGGGACTTCTGTGGGCCACCTTGTGAAACATTTTAAAGGCTCCTGACCTCTTTTGATCTTTAAAGAAACCAAAAACACACATATAGGCTACCTGGCATTTTTTGGTACTACTATGCCACTCTCTAACACGCAACTGGGGAGAGTAATGGAGCTCCGGGCTGGGGGGGGGGGGGGCGCACCGTGCTTTTGTCTCTGCGTTTGTGAAATGGAACTCCCACCTCCCCCTCCTCATCACAGAGTTTCTGAATCCAATTGAGATAGCAGATGTGAAACTGCTTCCAGTCCCTCTGAACAGACACTCTATCCGCAACAATGTACCCTCAGTGTAAACCTGAAGAGATTCCCCTCAGGGACTTCTGACAGCCTCGCTTCTGGCCGGGAGTCGGGGGAATTGAGATAATTATTCCTTCAACACCAAAGACATGGTTACCTTTTAGTCAGCCTCTTGTGATTCCTGCTCAGGAGAGGACTCTATTTCCTGAGTATGTACTTTTAGTGATTATATATTCATCAAAGAGTACACTGCCCTTTCTAAGAGCTACTAATGAAAGGCTATTACTCTGTTAGGAAACTCTGCACAAATGACATTATGAGTCCCAGACTCCATGAGAAGAACTCAAGACACAGTCAGACGGTGACTTCCACAAGCCGTGAGTTCAAGGCTGAAGTCCCCGCTCCAAGTGCCCTGGTGGAAACGTTCTCTTACCGCACTCTGCAGGTCCTCACCCTCTCAAATGGCTGTGCCATTTAATTTGTTTAACAATGATTTGAAAATGTATTTTGAAAATGTTCCTGCAACAGGGTGCCAGGGCAACGTTCAACCTGCAGGGTTTCCAGCTCATGTAAGCCAGGGCAGGCAGCATCAGTACCATGCAGCTGGGGGCTAGAGCTATTTGCTGTAGAAAATCCTACTGCTTTTGTCAACCTGGGGCAGGTTAGAAAGAACAGTTAGGTGTCTATGTTTTTTAGTAGGAGTATTTTAAAAACAAGAAGTCCTCGACTTGCAGGAAATGCTTAACACTGGTTTGTTGGGCAAGTGCCAAGTATTCTGGGAGAATATACTTTATCAAACAACCCATTCCGAAGGTCATGCAAGTCAAGTGGATACTTATGGATATTAGCAAGACAGTGGTTTTCCCATGGGTTTCCCCTCACTCCCAGGCTAATTATAAGTACCTTTGGTCTCCTGGGAAACATGAAATTAAAGCAAACTCAGCCTCCAGGCAGTAAGAAGAGCAGGGCACCCTGCACTGGTCCCAGGAAGGGTCTCTCTGCTCTTGAGCAGCACTCCCGTGTACCACCTCAGTGAACAGCCACAGTTGCCCTATCCTCATCCAAACACATGCTGATGTGGACCAGACTACTGTCTCACCACCTACAGGCCTACTGTAGAAGTTTTAAGTAGACAGACTGCAGGCCACACAAGGCCCACACATGTGTTTTGTCAGGCCCACAAGGTTTAAGAAAAAAAATAAACCTGAATTGGTTGCCAACGTTTAAAACCAGGAGATTCCATATAAAAATCCAGATTTCTAGCTTCTCTTTAAAAATATGAAGATCTGGCAACTCTGGGTTCACGTTCCCCTGTGACAACAACTGGTGGAGCTGAGCGAAGGCTTCCCCCTCATAAGGCACGTGCTCTCACACCCCAGCTCTGTGGCATTGCCACCTGAGCACGGCCAGCACAGCCATGCAGCACCTGGATCCATGACTCCAAATGAATTTTACTTTGCTCGGCCCTCCACCTGTCCCTATTCAGAGAGAGATGGGCCTGCTGCAGCAGCGGAGGAGGCAACACGAGGCAGTGGTGTTTCAGCTGGTGTTCAGTGGGACGAGAGAGGTCTTGACAATAGGCCCAGGGTGTGCAAGCTGCAGGGAGGCAGGCCAAGCTGCCAGCTCAGGGGAGACTGCCTGACGTTCACCTGATTCCATTCCCACTCCTACCACGGCCTCGCTTGCAGCTTGAACTTCCATTTCCCTATCAAGCAGGGACACCATTTGAGGACTCACAGGCCTAAAATTCTCTGATTCCTGATGTTCTAGGGAGTAGCACAGTACAGTGGAGGAAAAAAAATTAAGACCAGTCATTTAGGCTGGGCTTTGAATCCTAGCTCCCTCCCTATTTAAAGTGTATTTTATTGCTGAAAATGAAGCTGGTGCTCAGGCTGTATCTGCCAAGTAAACATCAAGATGGCTGGCAGGAGCCTCTCATCTTGATGTAGTCAGCAGTGGGGCGTGGACACATCCCAGTGAGAACACAGCTAAGTCCTCCTCAAAGCCGGCTGGCATTCCTAGTGACAAACCCCCAAGAAGAGGCGGATTACTAAGAGGAGGGTGGTCAGGTCCTGGACACAGAAAGAAGATATTGTTTTGTCTTGGGTTTTGTTCTTCTCAAGTCTGGGGGCACCTCTAGGAGGGGAGCTTCTCCATCTCTGCAGTAAGTCAGGAGCTGCACAGAGAGCAGAGGGCTTTCACACCACCCTGTGTTTGTTCTCTCCAGTTATTCCTTGATCTTTAGCAAAGTCACATTCAGCCATTAAACCAGAAAACACACATAGGTATGAGTCAATAAATGATCTATAAAAAGAAAACCCACAGGGCTAGGGCTGGGGCTGGGGCTCAGCAGTAGCGCACTTGCCTGGCATGTGTGAGGCACTGGGTTCAATTCTCAGCACCACATATAAATAAGTAAAATAAAGGTCTATCAACAACTACAAAAAGAAAAAAAGAAACCCCATAAAAATACGTGCTGTGATGTCAGACAGAAAAAGCAAACAGCCAACACGTTCGTCTACCCCGAAGGAAAGTGTCGAGATGGTACCCCCAGCTGGCTCACCTTAAGGTCCAGTGGCAGTTTGTTGGAAGTGAACACACTCAGCTTGATCTGGGGGATGCTGATCTTGAGGTTTTCAAAGTAGTATCGCGTTGGCGTCCCCCCCTGCTCGGCCGTCTTTTCATGGAGGTTTTCATCATATTTTTCCACCTCTGGTTCAAAGGCAGAAATTAAAAACCAATCTCTTTAGTCTCATGGTTCAAATACTTGTATGGAATTGAAAAAATTCATCCCAAAATGTAAACATCTCTTAGTTTATGCAGAATGCAGTATCTTGATGGCATTTCTTTGTAAAAGCAGATCTGATTCATGTTATTTATCAAAAAAGTAGGTGATCTCAATCTTCTAACCTGTGACTTTGCCATCTGGCAGATACCGTCTTTGGAAAAATAATCCAGGTGGGAAAATCAAAAGTCACAGGTGTGTTTGCCAGGCACAGGCTTTCTACAGCTACTGTTGGTATTAAGCGTCATTAAGATTATCTGAATTTATTTCAAAATGTGACATGTAATAAGAATTTGGTATACAGTACCACTGAATCAAAATGAATAATATCACCAATTAAATAATGAACCTGAATGAAACATTGAGCCTGAAAAATAACAGGGCTGAGGCCATAAACAACTAGCGTCACTGTAAACAGAACCCTCCCCCAGTGGTGGACGCTCCCTTAGGATAAGGCAGGCTTTTTAATTTACTACCCCATGAAGTAAAAACTGATAGGGGCTGAACACAGCAATGAGCTGTCTGCCCCTGAGGCCACCCCCACATCCACTGAGGCAGCCTATTTCCCCTTGGCTTCGGGCACCTTTAAAAGAAAACCAGGGAGACTACACCAATCTACGGAGCAAGCAAATTTACAGCATGGCCTATTATTAGTTGTATGTACAGATAAGCGGTACTGTATGTAACAGGTCCTGCCAACCTGCGCTGGGGGACACAGTTGCATTGGAAGGCCCGGAGGTGCTCCAGTGAAGGCAGAGAGGACTCTTCACAAAAGTCTACGCCTATTATTCAATATTTGCTGAGAAACTTACTACAGCAGTCAGGCAAGGTGGTGCACGCCTGTGATCCCAGCAACTTAGGAGGCTGAGGCAGAAGTGTCACAAGTTCAAGGCCAGCCCCAGCAACTTAGTGAGACCTTGTCTCAAAATAATTTTTGTTTTAAATGACCGAATGCCTTTTATTTTGTAGCAAAGTCATAAATTTTGAGAAGGTAAACATTGAAGCTTTTCAACTAGATATTGATCTGCATGGTGTAAGCAAATGTTTGTTGTTTTTGTTAATAATAACACAGCAAAACCTAATTTCAGTCCTTTACTCTCTACTATGAATATTCATCGAAGTGCCACAATTATAACACAAATATCAAAATAAAAAATTTTAATAAAAGGGCTGGCTGTGTAGCTCAGTGATACACCGGCATTCAATCCACGGTACAGAAAGAAAGGAACAAAGAAGGAAAGAGAAAAGCAGGAGGCAGATGAAGAAAGGAAGGAAGGAAGAAACTCATTATGGCAACTCTTAAGAAAAGCACGACCAGGCTGGGGCTGTAGCTCAATGGTACAGCACTTGCCCCACAGGTGTGAGACCTGGGTTCAATCCTCAACACCACATAGAATGAATGAATGAATAAAGATATTGTATCCATCTACAACTAAAAAAAAAAAAAAAAAGAAAGTAAAGCATGAACAGTCAAATTTAAAGTAAAACTTCTCAAGAAGGTATCAAAACAGAATGGATACCTCACCAGCAGGCTTTCAAGGGGCTGTTGAATATAAGTAAACACTGGAGCCCCAACTCACGGTAGAAAACACAGCATTGAAAAGTCCTGACTCTTCTTGCTCTTGAAACCACACACATTATTTTTTTCCTTTTTGTGATGTGGAGGACTGAACCCTGGGCCTCAAGCATGCTAAGCACACCCTCTACCACCGAGCTATATCCCCAGCCAATCCCAAATACTCTTCAAGCTTGATTCTAAATCCAGGATAAAAAGAACAAAATATATTCCCCTTGCATCGTGTACATGTAGGTACACACTTCCGGGTACATTTCCCCTCCAGTGAACAGGGGCAGACACACAGTCTTTTTCTTATCATTTCTTCAGGTTCAATGTTTAATTTAGGTTTCAAAAGGCTGAGCATTACCGGCAACTTTCTAAGCTGTATATACAGCCCTGAAGTATCCACCTACAAGCAGGAGAAGGCTGGAATGTGAAACCTACCATAAAGAGACAACAGCTAAATTATTCTGCACTATTGCTGGGAATTTGTTTTTCAAGTTTATCTTACTCCCTTCTCCAAAGAAGAGAGTAAAGTAACTAGAAACCTTTATAATTACAGTAAGACACATGGGTATGGATGTCAAAAGTCGATGAATTAAGACCAGCCAATTTTTTTTTCCTCAACTAAGCCCAAGGAATTGCCAAAGGGATTTTGGATTCTTGGACCTGAGTCTGCTCAATGAGCAAACGTTAGGAGACACAGTAGTTTGCTAAATAACATCGTTTCTATTATCCTAGGGCAGAGAAACAAAAAATACCAAGCACAGAGGAACAGTGTGCTGCTGCCCAGTGGCTTACCAAGGATATCCCAGGACACCAAGACCCTCTAGTAGCTGCCTAGTTCATGGATGTAACCCAGATAACCAGCAATGAAAGGGAACAGTTGAGACACAAACTCCTGCTTGCTAGTTCAGGCTATAAAGTAGAAAATAGCTTGGTGGGCACCCAGGAGCCACCTATTTTCACAAACAGACTAAAACATGCCATCTGTGGGCCAATGACAGATAGAAGTACAGGCTATTTTACTTTACCTGACTCTGCCTGGTCGTAGCCAAAGAAACTGAGCAGCTTAAGGAGCAGTTTTTCCTCAATCTGTACGGTGAACCTCTGGGCTGTGACCATCAGGTGCTGGAGAGAAAGAAATTCGGGTTTTCAGGGTGAACACCTGGGGAACTTGTACTTGTTCAGTTAAGAAGGCCTCAGGAAGCCAGGCATGGTGGTACCTGCTGTCTCCTAGCCATAGGGGAGGCTGAGGCAAGATTATTGGTGGAGCCCAGGCCTGGGCAATATAGTGAGATGGTGTCTCATTTAAAAAAAAAGAAAAAAAGAAAGGCCCAATGACATGACATGGTTTCCTTACCCATGTGATTTAATAAGTGCCAAATTATTTCTGGCTTATCTTTCTCTATCTTGTAACAGTTAATCAAAAACCCCAGAAGATGTTCAGTGGATAACTAATCACCATCCTGTTGCTTGGTTCCCAGGGCATCTGGCCTTGTGAGTCAGATTACAGCTCCAGATGCCCTGTGCCATGTGAACCTTGTGGTCGTCTGTTCAGACGGATGGTAGCTTGCACAAGGAACTGCACGAGTAGCTTGTGGCTGAGGGCTCCAGGCAGGCTTGGTCCCATAGACACTGGTGACAAATGGACAGGAAGACGGGAAGCAACAACATCTTACTCAGCTCCCACTTTTCCAGTTTGTTGCTCTAGCAGCTGGCTTATATTTGGGGACTGCTCCAAGAGACAGTTTATCACTGTTGAACAGTCTCGTCTGCTTTTAGGACACAGTATGGTAGCTTAGATGCAGGACATGTGTCCCAAGGTCAGACCCCTTGAAGCTCCTTTTCAGTATCTCTGTATTACTCTCTTTTTAATACCACATCTGACTAATCTAGAAGATTCTACACATTCCTACAGAGATTTCAGTCTGATGAAAGAAGATGCTGGGCCCTGTGGATCCAATACCTTCAAACTGTCACCTGCAAGGTCACTGAACACAACTGAGAACATAAAGTGCCAAGAAAAGGAGTTCCTGCATATGCCCGTCCCCAGCCCGTCAGAACGGCTTCCACACGCAGCCTGCACTGCTGCTCTGAGACGCGACTGAGAGACAGCAGATCCCCTCCCACATGGCACCACCCCAGCTCCCATAGCCTACCTTGTAGATGTTGGTCAGTGCGCTCTTACTGGGGGACTTCACTGCATTGACCTGCACTGCAGGGCCTGTCTCGATGACCTCGTTCTCGTTGCTCAGGGGAGTCACGTAGAGCATAAAGGGCTGCGTGGTGCCAATGAGCTGATTGTCCACCTGGGACATGAAAAAGCAGCAAAACAGAAACAGAGCACACGCTCAGTTTTCGTTTCCACCTTTGAGTGGTACCTCCTACTAGGCAGGTCCCTCAGCAAGTCACGAGCTGGCCGGTCCACACCTTAACAACAGATGGAAAGGCGCAGGTGTGGCCAAGGCCAGTCAGAACACTTGTAGTGCAGTGGTAACGGAAACCGGGGCCAGGCCTGACTGGTGAGTGCTTCACTCATAGAAGGGACTTGAAGTTTTCTCACATGAGAGAATTTGTGTGTTGATTAGCTCAGTGGGCCATTCCAGAACAAATGCATATTTAAACATTATGTTGCAAATAATATATACAGTTCTTATTTGACAACTTGAAAAATTAATTACAGAAATGAAAATAAAAACTCAAAAAACATACTAGGCACCAAGCATCTTGCCAGCCATCTCGCATACACAGTCCTATCAAAGGCCGTCCCAGCTACTCCATAAGGGCTCTGCCCCAATCCTTACCAAAACCTCAAGCACACCCACCTCATTTCAAAGAAGACTCGGAAGACAGAGGCCCTAGTTTAAGTTGGTCAATGACAGAATGAAAACTCGAGGCCAGGTCTGTCCACACCCCCAAGGCCAAAGCTCTCAACCACTATGCTGTCGATGTTTCTCACACCTAAATCCTTGAAGGCAATTGAAATTAGAAAGACAAGAGCTCAAGTGGCTACCAAAAGAGTACAATTCCCTCTAACGTCAGTCCTTCTGAAGAATGCAGCACCGAGTAGCGAATAGCACTAGCACCACGACGGGGACCATGGCTGCACCAGGACATTCACACACCCAGGAGGCTCACCGAGAAACAGCCACCTCTCCTTTCTGTTTCACACTGAAGATCTTGGGGCCGGTAAAACAAAAACCATCTGCTGGATTCCCATAAAAGATGATCAAAAAGCAGGGCGCGGTGGCACACACCTGTAATCCCAGTAGCTCAGGAGGCTGAGGCAAGAGGATCAAAAGTTTAAAGCTAGCCTCAGCAACTTAGAGAGGCCCTAAGCACTCGGTGATATCCTGTCTCAAAAAGACATGGGGCGGGGGGAGGGGGAGAGAGAGAGACCATCATGAGGTACTCTCTGACCACTAATTACCATGTGCCTTCTGCTACACGAAAGCCGGAAGCTAGTATTCCTCTCTTGTTACAAACAGGTAAAGAGAGGCTCAGAGAAGCTTCACGAGTAAAATTACCTGCTGACACTCACACACAGCTGGTAAGTGGAAGAGCCAGTATTAAAATGCAGAATTCCTGGCACCAAACTCTTTGCCCTGCCAGGACTTCCCACAGGTTCCCATCCCACAGTGCTGGGGCCTGGGCTGACCTCCCCTCCCCTGGGATAAAGGCCAGAGGCGCGGGGCACCTGCACCTACCTCCACTCTTGCCCCCGACAGTGCTCTCTGCTCAGTAGCCACGGTGATTTGCTTTTAAAGCATAAATCAAGTCAAATTCCTTCTTCTCCACCCTTCAGTGGCTTTGCTTACTGTTAGAATAAACCCAAACTCGTCCCCATAGCCTCCAGGCCCCAGGGTCCGGGTGCTACCTCTCTGCCCCTCCCCAGTCCCTGCAGCCCACTCTGTTTTTCCCCAACGTGGCTGAGCCCCCTTGGGTCTGCGCCCTTCTCTGTGGTGGATCTTTCTCTTCCTCCAGGTTCCAGCCAGCTTGCCCGTCCTCAGGAAGACCCCCAGGCCACTTCATCTCGCAGCCCATCCCTTCGCTCCTCTCAGCAGTTGTCATGGGATGTCACTGTTTACTGCTTACATACTGGTTGACTTCCTCCCTGGCTGTGAGCTCCAGGAGGGCACAGGCTGCGTGTCTTTAGTCATAGCTGTGTCTCAGAGCCTCACACGGTGCCTGGCGCACAGCTGACGCTCAGGAAGAACTTCTTGAATGTAGGAGCCATGACCTATCCATACTAAAGTAACAATAATGAACTCACCTATGCTGTCCTCTCCTTTGTCCTTTCCCTAAATACAGGGATTGGGGAAAGGACATGCAGGTTGAGTATCCCTAATCTGAAAACCTGAAGTCCAAAATGCTCCAAAATCCAAAACTTCTTAAGTGCCAAGATGACATTACAAGTGGAGCACTTCACACCATGAAATGCTGTTTCATGCATAAAAATACCACATAAAATTACCCTAAGGCTACGTGTAGAAGGTATATACAAAACATAAATGAATTTCATGATTAGAATTGGGTCCCACCCCCAAGAAATGCCATGATGTATATGTAGATATTCCAAAATCCAAAACACTTCTGCTTCCAAGCACTTTGGATAAAGAATCCTTAACCTGTACAAAGCATGCTGAGAATTACTAATTCTAGTTCTGCAAATTAGATTCAGTGCACCCACAGAACAGAACATATATTTTCTATTAGAAAAATTTCTTTTTCACAGCCCTATCACCATAGTAAGCCCTCAAATCTCCTTAATTCCTATGATTTCCAGCACACATCAGAACAAGAGGTATTATAATTAAAATTGCATGTGAGAATGTGAGAATGTGAGTGTGTGTGTGAGTGTGTGTGTGTGTGTGTGTGTGTTACCTGGGATTGAGCCTAGGGCCTTGCCCATGCCAGATAATTGCTCTACCAATGAGCTACATTCTTGGTCTTTTAAAAAAATTATTTTGAGATGGGGTCTTTCTCAAATATAATCCTCCTGTCTCAACCTCCTGAACAGCTGGAATTAGTGGCATGTCTCGCTGTGCCCAGCTTAAAAAAATTTTTTTTAATAAAAATATAGGGGCTGGGGTTGTAGCTCAGTGGTAGAACACTCACCTCGCACATGTGAGACCCAGGGTTCAATCCCCAGTACCACTTAAAAATAAATAAGTGAAATAAAGTTACTGTGTCCAACTACAACTAAAAAATAAATGTTTAAAAAGAATAAAAATATAAAGTTAAACTATAAATAACTAGCAAAAGGATCTTCTCCGTAAAGTCAAAAAAGAAGAACAACGAAAAAGAGCTACGGGTAATAACCTTCTATCTATCTTCAAACAACAGGATGTGATTAGCTTGAATCATGTGCGATTTATGATATATGGCGAAAGATCTTCTGAGAAGAGGTTTGGGCATGTGTGTTCAGGGAGCAGAAGCTGCCTGGGCCCAGGGACAGCTGCACACACCCAGTAGGAATGCTGGCCAGCCATGTGGGAAGCCTGCAGCTGGGGCCGAGGGTCCTTCTCATGGAGATGTTTACCAGAACCAGTTTCCTGAACGTAGTTCACCTTTGGTGGAGGCTGGAAAGGAGCGTTCCAACTACGATGTTACAAAGAAATACAGGAGTTGTTCTGACAGCATGGCAACAGAACTCTCCCCCAAATTGTCAAAATCTACTTTTTACAGAACTCTGAAAATTAATCCAAAGTTTGCCAACAATCCAAGGGGCATTTATTCAAGAAAACAAGCTAAACAGAGGTAAGAACAGAAAGTTCTAAGGCACTCAACTGGTGCTATTCCCATTACCACCACACAAGTCCACGGAAGCCCTGAAAGGCAACAGCTGGGCAGTCACCAACAGGATGGCAGCGAGCAGTCACTGGAGGCCCCAGAGCAGACTCAGCAGCCCCCAACGCCTCACTCAGAATAATGTCATTATTTGGCTTGCCTGGTGTATCTCCTGTCTCTCTCTTTCTGGATATTGGTAATCTGCATTCCAACCCTCCATCCTTGGTACTGGGGACTGAACCTAGAGGCTCTCTACCACTGAACTACATCCTCGGTCTTTTTTTTTTTTTTGATGCAGGGCCTTGCTAAGTTGCTGAGGGTCTCCCTAAATTGCCAAGGCTGGCCTTGAACTTGTAATCCTCCTGCCTCAGCCTCTCAAGTCGCTGAGATTATAGGTATACGCCACGACACCTGCCAATAATTTGCTTCTTTTTTCTCCTTATTAGACTGGTTTGGTAGCAGCTTACTAATTTTATTGATCTTAAAGATTTTCTCTACTGTGATTGCCAATATAGGCCAGTTCACTGATTTCTGTTATGATCTTTATTGTTTCTTTCTTTCTTTCTTTCTTTTTTTTTTTTTTTTTCAGATTCTTAAATGACAGCTGAGCCCTGTTGTTCGGAGAGCCTCCTGGGTTTCCACCAGTGCTCCAGCCTCACTCACTACAACCAGGCTGAGGGGCTACGAAGATTCAATTCAAAGTACCTTCCAACTTCTGTTTTGATCTCTTGTTTTATTTATGGGTTATTGAGAAGTATATCAGTTTCTAAATATTTGGGGGAGTCTTCTGACTCTTCTCAATCTTCTTCTTTCTGTTATTTCTACTCTAATTTCCACTGTGGTCAGAGAATATACCATCCATGACTTGATTTTTTTTTTAATATTTATTTTTTAGTTGTAGTTGCACACAATATCTTTATTTATATGTGGTGCTGAGGATCGAACCAAGGGCCTCACATATGCTAGGCAAGTGTTCTACCACTGAGCCACAACCCCAGTCCCATGACTTGAATCTTGAGAACAGTTTTATGGTCCAGAATGAGGCCAGTTCGCTCCAGTTAGCTGACAGTGTTATTCCTGTATGTCTTTGGTGATTTTCTGGTTATTCTATCAGTTATTCAGAAAGTGGTATTAAAATCTTTGTAACTGTTGGTCTAATTCTTTAGTTTTTGCTTCATGCCTTTTGAAGCTCTGCTCAAATTTGTTGTATCCTCTTGATTAACTCTTTTATCATTTAGAAATTGCCTTCTCTATCCTTGGTAAAATTCTTTGCTCTGAAATCTAACCTGATATTAGAGCCACTCTCACTTCCTTATGACTGGAGTAAGCCAGGGAAACCATTTCCATCCTTTTCCCTTTTAAGCTATTTGTGTCTTTACAGTTAATGGGTTTCTTGTAGACACCACGTAAGTGGGCCTTGATTCTTCAATCACTCTGATCCTCTCTGCCTTCTGAGTGGGTGTTGATCACACCTACATGTAACTGGCCCTGTGAGGTCCGCGCCTGTCACCTTGTTACCTCTTCCTCCCATCTGTTCTTTCCCCTGTTTTCTGACTTCTCTTGTATTAATTATTTTTTATTATCCCATTTAATTTCCTTTGTTGGATGATTATTTGTAACTCTTTGTTTTATGATTTTAGTGGTTACCTTGGGCTTTAAAAAATTGATCTTTAATGTATCAGTCAATAATCCAGCAATATCGTACCACCTCATGTACAAGATTTTGATAATATTCTAACACATCTCCCCTTCAGGCTTCACACTATTGTCTTTATACATTTTACATACAGACTCCAAAAAGTGTACACAATCATCTTTAAGAGAGTTAAATAAGAAAAGAACCCCCTTC